TACTACTACTACTACTACTACTACTACTACTTCTACTACTGCTACTGCGACTGCTACTGCGACTGCGACTGCTACTGCGACTGCTACTGCTACTTCTCTTGTCAAAACTAACACTGCTGCTACTACGCCTATTCCTACTCCTACTCCTCCTCGACAACCACGACCGCACCCACCACCACCACCACCACCACCGCCACCACTGCGACCACCACCACCACCACCACGACCACCACCACCACCACCACCACCGCTAACACCACCACCACCACCACAGCTGCTACAAATTACTCTGGCTAGCATATGTGACTACACGACAGTGAAAACTAATGTCACCCCCCAGTGTTCGCACGCAACAAGGCTCATACAAAAAAACACAGCAAGAATCAGCAAGAAAGTAGAGGAGACCACCCGAAACATGTTACGTGCCGGGTTGAGTTTCGGCGAATGAGAGAACTGAGAAGCTAAGGCTCGTCATCAGGCAATCGCTCACGGACTCGAAACCAGAGCAGCTGAGACGGCATTCCCAAACCCGATAGCGCGTACTTCACTCGCATCTGCTTTGCTTCTTCCGTATGCCTCAGGACATGATCTGGAACTGACCCTATCAAAGCCTTCTAAAGTTCAGAAACAAGCTCCTGGCCAATTGAGTGAGTCGAGAACAACACGGACATCAATCGGATTGACATATTTTTTCCTGCCGAGACAGCAAATTCCAAACCAGAGGCTACAGCGACATCAATGGGGGCCCTTCCTATGACTCAGAATCCACTTTGCCAACGGCTGGATCTCTGGATCATGCAGGAGCTTCGTAAATCTTTCCTCTTCCTTGGCTTTGGCACGCGAAAATGCCGGCCGGATTCGGGCCGCGAGATAGAGAGCTAGGGGAATGAAACAGATGTGTCTTGAAAACGAGTATAAACGATGGGGTATACCCAAAGGCTCATGCAGCCGGGATGCCGTCGGCAGAGATTCGGGATCGGGAACGTCTGGCATCCGGGCTTGATGGCACACCGAATAACCTTGTCCACAGCTTCGCAGACGAAAGGTCTGGCGTCTGGTGATTCCCCCGTTTGATGTAACACCACGCTGCAAAAAAAAGGGCCCCTGAAATGACATCGGCGGCAAACCGCTTCAATGCCTTGCAGAGAAGCGGCCTTCGGGACGTTGGAAGCTCGCTTGCATGGTGAAGATCCTGAGGGGCACAGCCCTCTACTGCTGCAGTCGTACCACTGCGTTTTTCCTCGACTCACCAATGAGATCGTCTTACTAATGGAGCAAAGAAGCCATTCTCCCTTTTGCCGGGCTGCCACAGAGCGAGTGGCAAAGCTGTTTCCATCTCGAACTCGACTAATGTCCTTGCGAGAGAAGAAAGGAAAATATCCTCCTTAAGAGGGCAAGGGAGGATTTCTATCGCTAGCACCCGTGCGATAAAGCTGGCAGACGTTCACGTTTACCGTGCCATGTGAATCGAATGTTCTCCCTGCAGCTAAGCTCGCAGCATACACAATGGGATGCTCAGGCTGCCCAGCCCGGACGAAGTAAGCGTGTAAACCTCATGCAGGTTGCTTCTCATTCTCTCTTTTGTTGTTTCCCGCCTGGCTAGGACGAAGCCACGATGCAGGGTCTGATGCCAGAGTGTGCGCGCCTAACATCTCCAGCCGAGCAGCTGTGCAGCGAAAGGCCGGGTGCCTCGTGGAGAATTCAAAGCTCTTGTCTCGCGAGGCACGCTACTCTTGGGATCCGAGCATACGAAGTACCAAATAAGGCGCTAGGCGCAGCGAATGGCGAATGAACAACTATAGTTGCGCATGGCATCACTAGTTTGTAGGACCGGTACGACCAATAATCGAGACCAGAACAAGAATCCTGCAATCTGAGCCGCGACGGTCTGGCTGGCCGCAGCCAGGGACTGGCCCAGAACCTGCAGGACAGAGCACACGGATCACACAGGCACGGAATGCAAGATTTCACTGCAACTCCCCTTGTGTGCTCTGTGAGGCTCAAGCGAGTCGCTTTACGCTTGGCACTGAGCTTTGTGGTTGAAGACAGGAATTGAAACTTTCAGGAGCTGTGCCTGACCGCCAAAAACTGCCCGAGCACCAGGTGGCTTCCAGAGAATCTCGGGCTTAGCCACGAAAAGATTCCTTGAAGGACAGGATCGCACAGGTGTGGGTCACTAGAACGAGCCGAGCCACGGGTCTATGCGGTCAAGCACAATTGCCTCACATTTGTGAGCATGGCCGCGTGGTTTCGGTGCAGGCTCGACGCAAAGATAATATCTGAAACAAGTCTGAGCCACCTGAAAAACATTCTGCTGTGGTGGCCCCTCTGGGGCACCTTTGCGCTGTCCTTCCAAGCTCGACTTGGTGTCTTCCTCCGACGCATCTCCTGCAGCTACTTGGGCTCATGCTCATGCCTATGAACTGCACGCGATCGGCTCACGACGTGCCTCCTGAGTCAGAGCCAGCCATTGCGAATGGCCCCTAAACCCAACTCTGCGTGCTTGAGGCTCGATCCCGGTACAACATGGCAATTCATTTCCAAACGGGGAGTGGAACAGTTCAGTTCTGTTGAACAGACCGAGTGCAACGAAGGATGCAGGCTTACTCGAGGAGATACTTGCGGCCAGGTAACGAATGGGTTGCCCTCAGACATGCTGTCCAGACCTTGTTGCAGACTCACATCAAGCCCCTGTGTCATTAACTCGTCGACACGCCTAGCTTGAGCAGGGGAGTTGTGACTGAACCTCCAAACAAACTCTCTGCCCGACCTTACATATTCCATGACACGTCTTGGAGGTGAATACGGCGGAAATCTGAATGAACCGCGCAAGATCTCCTACATGTGTCAATGTTTATCAGAATCAGGGGTGCCTACTCACGGGTCCTTCTGAGAAGGTCCCATGGCTATTGGGATTGACAGTTTGCCGATTCTTGTGAACCTCGCCCGCCCCATCGGCCAAGCGGCACCACTCAAAGCGTGCTGGAGCTCTCTGCACGGGTCTGCGAGACCAGCCTCGATGGTTCAGGAGCTTAGCAGCTGCTTTGTTTGGGTTTGACATGATCGCCAATTAGCTACAAGCAGGGGTTTCTGGATGTTTCTGGTGTCCCGCCTGCAGGAATGCGCAAGTTGATCTGCTGCTTCGGGTGCTCTTCTGACTTCTCGGCTGCATCATTGCGATGTTCCACCTGCTTCTCGGACACCTCCCTCGCAGGAGTCGGAGATTGCACCTGCTGGAAGGCGGCAGAGCAGCTGAGAATTGCCATTGTCTTTCGGTTGTCTGCATCCAGCATGACCACATGCCTTGCGACTGTTCCTCCCCATCATATGACAAAGTCGTAATATGCTTGTGTATCTATTTGTAGTTCCACACACCTCCATACGTGTGACCTGTGGATATGCGGATATGCTTGCAGGCTTTTGGCAAAGCGATGCAAGGCACTTGTTGCTTTCTGCTTGCGTTGCTAACATTCCGGCCAATGTTGGCCGAAATGCACAGGTACATTGCGCATTCAAAAAATGCTAACGTCCCTGTTATCATGTAGTAGTAGTAGTAGTAGTAGTAGTAGTAGTAGTAGTCGTAACAGTAGCAGTAGCAGTAGCAGTAGCAGTAGCAGTAGCAGTAGCAGTAGCAGAAGTAGTAGTAGTAGTAGTAGTAGTAGTAGTAGTGATAGTGGTAGTAGGCGTAGTAGATGTAGTAGTAGTAGTAGTAGTAGTAGTAGTAGTAGTAGTAGTAATGTCCGCCGAGGCCACAGGCCCAGGCGTCTTGGGGGTTACCTCCAGTACCCTCCCAAGCCTCCTGTCCAACCACCCGTTTTTTGCATCCATTCCCACCCCCCCGCCTGGCTTCGCCTTATTTTTTACTTGTTGTTTTTGCTGTTTCTGGCTTTTCCTGCCCCTGCCCACCTTATTCTGCTCCTACCCCACCCCTCACCCCCCCCTACCCCCCCCTACCCCTACCACCCCCCCTACCCCGGACGTGCTTGCACTACTCTGGAGGATCTTAGCAAGCTTGAAGACGTCTATTTTCTTTGTTCCTCCCACGAACTCTAGACTCTGCTGCAGACAGGCACCAACGCTATCCCCCTCAGCAGCCGAGGCGGGCGGCGTAGCATTAAAATTATTAGTAGCAAGACTAGTAGTTAAAAGTAGTTAGTAATAGTAGTAGTGATAGTAGTA